GAGCTCGTGGGCAAGAGGAAACCTGGGGGGGGGGAATAAAAGGAGGCTGTTTAATATTTAGCGTCTTTACACCAACCATCTGCTGGTGTCTGCGGGGCTGAGGAAACAGTGGAGAACGCCATCTACCACATATGGCTTTTAATAATTCATGCGTGCTGCAGCGCCACCTCGGCCGCCTGCACTGTGAAATGTAAGTGGGCCTCATTAGGCCGGCTGGCTGGAGTCCCCCCAGAAAAATAATAACACGTACACGCATACCTAGCCGGGGACAGACGTGCGCAAATGCACAAGCATAAATATCACAGAGCAGGTGACGGGATAGATGAGCCCGACGAGAGCAGGCGAAAGGACAGGCGGCGTTTTGCTCGCCTACCGGAGAGCCGCGCTCGGGAAACGCTGGACGCCACGCTGACATTACAGCACAAAGAAACACAAAGTTACATTCCTCTGCTTTATTAGAGGCTCGACTAATGAACAGGGGTCCATAAAATTACGCAAGTGTTTCCTTTGGTGATGCTTAAAATAGACCACCAAGGCTCGTCTCCAGGGCCGTATCTGCAGGGCACAGAGCGCTGCATTTCTGTATCAATAAATAACCAGCTTGCATGAGTCTAATTACTAACCTGAGAGGATTTAGATGCCCCCCCCCCCAATGCACCTGGGTGAGGAATGCTCCCTTGTGTTTACGTTGATGGGAGGTTTGCGCTCAGCCTTACAGGAAAGCAGGAGGGATGTGAGCTTATGCGCTTTTCATTTAATAAAGACTCCTCTGGGGGAGGAGGGGAAATGTGCAGAGAGCGCTGCGTGACTAAAACAGTCTCTAGCTATTTCTTTCACATTAACAAAGGCACTGCACATGCGAGCGAGCGACGAGCCAGCATGCTTTCAGGTTGCTCCATTAACGAACGTGCACACTGTGCACTGAAGGCTCTTTCTCCTCATGTACAGTAGACGTGAACACGGCCTGTAATCATGCACATTCATGTCGTTTATGAGGTTTTTTAGTGAATTTAAGATAAAAAGAAGAATCAGTGCATTAATGTTTAACCTGTTTAATTCTTTCTTTAACCCTTTAAGACCTACCATAGAACCAAGTCCGCCAGAGCTTATATTATATTTTTACATGCTGTGGAGCCATTT